AGGTTGTGGAGTCTCCTTCACTGGAGATATTGAAAACCCTCCTGGACGAAGTGTTGTGTGACCTGCTCTGGGTGACCCTGCTTTGGCAGGGTGCGGGACTGGATGATCTCCAGAGGTCCCTTCCAACCCCTGCCATTCTGTGATTCTGTGAAACCCAGAGGAAAAAGAAGAGATTGCTTTTTTCTTTCTATTTATAAAGAAAGAGATTGATTTTTAAAAGGACAAAGAACCTTAGGAAAAAAACTAGAAGAGAACACTCTTCAAATCTCTATGTTTCTTTGCAAAATCCTCTTGTACTATATCCTTTCCCAGGATCTTTATCCTTTTTCCAAAATAGGAAGCGGTGTCTCCATCCTTAGAGCTATTCAAAAGCTGTCTGGACACAGTCATGGGCAATGGGCTCTACGTGGCCCTGCTTGAGCTGGGGGGTTGGATCAGATGACCTCATATGTGCCTCCAACCTCAACCATTCTGTAATTTTGTGATGACTTGAAAACAAATGCAGTTTGCTTTCAGACCTTCTTCACTGGCCCCAAGTCTTGTTGGCTTTCCTTGTAGTGAAAGAGTTTTGTAGTGGTGTCCCACTGGTAGAAGAGCTACGAGAATGAAGGGAGGAAAGGCTGTCCGGTGCTCTCTTTCATGGGGAATACCAATGAAGTATAAGAAGAGCTTGAAAGATGAAGATCTTGAACCGAATTCATAACTTCTTAAGAATTCCAAGTAATGTGAAGACAAAGCTATGAAACACCTTTGACCTGCAAATACCACTTCCTTCAGCTTGGAAGTATCACTAGCATTTATAACTTGCTTGTTTTTTCGCCTGAGATGCTGTTGGTTTATTGTATATATTAATTAACTGAAATTATTTTTAAAATTGCTACTAATAACATCTGACACAAGGAGGCTGAGCTGTCTTGACTGAACACCCAACAGGTCAGAGCAAGACCGCAGAGGTGGAGGACTTCTGAAGTGCATTTCCGCATCTATGATGTCACTTGCTGTAATTACTTTACATAGAGTTTGTTGCAACAGCCAAAGTTTCTAGCAAAAGTTTTGCCAAAATATTTTTGGAAAGTGAATGTGCCACAAGCAGAAACCTTGAATTACCAAAACCATTCCAAAAACACTGTAGCATTCACTCAGCTCTGCCATTTTACAGGTGAGATAGGAACAATGAAATGCAATGTCAAGGCATCTTCATTAGTTTGCTGAGACACTGTTCCTTCCCATTGCACTACCTGCTGGGTCAGGGTTGGATTTAGATCGTTGTAGTAGATTCTCTGCAAGATTGATGAGGCTAAACACTCTTGGAAGGAGTTTACAATTGCTGTTTACTTCTAGCCTTCTGCTAGCACCTCAGAGTCCCCCACCTTGTGCTAGGTGCCTTACAGACAGAGGACAGTCCTGCACCAAAACGTCCAAGTGTAAAACAAGAGGAGCTGGTGTGAGGATCCAGGAAGCAGCAGTGGAGCACAGGTCACTGGGCGGGTCTGTCATTGTATATATGAATTAAATTCAGGATCCTCCTCTGTATCTGTTTGGTCCTCACCCCATAGATGATAGGGTTGGCCACAGCAGGCACCAGGATGTAGATGTTCCCCATGGTGATATGGACCAGTGGAGCCAGGTCCTTCCCAAACCTGTGCACCACAGACAGCCCGATCAGGGGCACGTAGAAGGCCAGGACCACGCAGATGTGGGCGACGCAGGTGCTGAACACCTTGAGCCTCTCCTTCCACAACGCCAGCCGCAAGACAGCCTTGAGGATCAGGACGTAGGAGAGGCAGATGAGGACGGCGTCCAGCCCCATGACGAGCAGGATGGCGGTGAGGCCGTACACCACGCTGGGGGTGGCGTTGGCACAGGCCAGGTTCATCACGTCCTGGTGCAGGCAGAAGGAGTGTGACAGCAGCCGGGAGCTGCAGAAGGGAAGGGGCAGCAGGAGCAAAGGCAAAGGCAGGAAGAAGAGAACTCCCCGGGCCATGGCTACCAGCCCTATTTTCACTGTCGCAGCATTGGTGAGGATGGCAGCATGTCTCAGTGGGTGGCAGATGGCCACGTACCGGTCCACGGCCATGGCCAGGAGGACGGTGGACTCGATGGCTGAGAGGGTGTGGATGAGGAACATCTGGACAAGGCAGGCACTGAAGCTGATCTCTGTGCTGTTGAACCAGTAGAGGGAGAGGGCGCGTGGCACCGTGGACGTGGACAAGGCCAGGTCGATGGCAGCCAGCATGCAGAGAAAGAAGTACATGGGAGCGTGCAGGCTGGGCTCCGTCTTCACCACGAACAGCACCACGCAGTTGCCCGCGACCGCCAAGAGGTACATGGAGCAGAGAAGGATCGCCATCCAGAAATGGGCAGCCTCCATCCCCGGGATGCTGGCCAAGATGAAGGAGGACGGGCTGAGGTCAGAGCTGTTGGGGAAGGGCATGGCACGTGGGGTGAAGAGCAGTCATGCTACGCCACGGCAAGTACCCTGCTACAAGGGGAAGAGAAACAGCAGCTTTAGAAATCCTTTCCCATGACTGCAAATCCCGTGGGGCTGTGCTTGTGAAATGTGAGGGGATCTTATAGTTGCCATACTGATACAGGGAGCTCCTCTCTGATTTCTTTAGCCCATTATGGCTACATACAATAACATACGCAGCCTCAAAATGGTGGCATTTAAATTTGAATAGGAATTGCTTGAATTCTCTTAATGTACAGCACTGTAAACCCAACATTTTAAATCATAAATCCAGCAACTGAACTTGTTTTCTTTTATTTTTAAAGGGCAAAATAAAAAAAAAAAAATAAAAATAAATTTTTAGTGCTTCCTGTTAAACTTCAGTTCTGCTTGATTTTTTCCGTATGTGCTGCCCTTTCAGAAATGTACTTGGTGAAACGGGCTGTACTGCCTCCCACGGTCCACCACTCCCAAGTGCTGCAACATGCACAGTGAGACACATGTATTTATTTGTTTGCACACACAAATTGGATTTTCATCTTTTCGGCCTAAAATATATAAATAGCAGAATATCTGTAAAGAAATAAAATTCTGATTATTCACCTTATTCTGTACCTGTAAACTTACCAGGAGTGCTGTGATCCAAGGAGAATGGCCAGGAAGATGTGTAAAAGCCTTTGCTTTGGGTGCCTCTCTATTTTCGGGGATCAGATTTTTAAAAATACCGGGATTTAGAAAGTGCTGGGATGGAATGTCAAAGGCTGATGCAACAGGAGGGTTGGAGCCCCAGTGCTGCACAGCCCAGCCTGGCATGGGAGGGCTTGGGACAGGGGCGAAGGCCCTGCCTGAGTCATAACCCCAAGTTCGACCCCCCGGGTGACACGGGACTTCATCCATCCACCCCGGCGGACCAGGCAGCCGGTCAGTAGCTGGCTGTACCTGCGCTGGAATAAACCCGCCGTCTCCCCTGCCCTGTACGGACAGCACGAGGTCAAGCACATAACTGCCCTCTGCAACATTCCTGAGCTTTCTGATTATTTGTTGCACGCCCTACCCATGTAAAACAAGGGCAAAAAACCGTTTTTGTGGAAAGCTCCGCAGGCTGCTAATACAGTGATTCTAAAAGTAACACTCAGTTGTGAAAACGTTTGGGTTTTTTTTACTGCACGTCTGTGGTGAAGCCTTTATCCTAAAATAGCAATCAAGATTTTATTTCCCTGACGTGGGGTTTTTCCATCTTGAATCTATGACAAGTGAGACTCATACTCCAGCTTTTTACACACAATTTACAAACAGCGTAGGTGGACTGTTACTGTCAAGTTACCTAAAAGCTATTCTCGTGATGAAATTTTCAGTGAACCTCTTACATTAAGATGCAAGCTGAATGGACAAAGTGCTTTGGTAATTGCTGACAAGTACCTGAGACAACTTACCTGCCAGCCACTGAAGTGTAATTACGGTATGAGTCTCATTGTAAAATGTCTGCCATCCTATTCATTTCTTTCAAGAGAATGTGACTGTGAGAGAACAACACACAAAGTAAATAAGCCCTGGATGCTTCAGTTCATCTCTAGTTCTTTGGTATCGGTAAATGCACAAACGTTTTCAGAAGTGAGTAATGAATTTGGATTGCTAGTTGGATGAAGACCAGGTACTCCAAGTACCTTGCTTTCTGTAGAGATGAAAACTAGATCTGTGTCTTTTAAAATACCAGTAAATGCAGATTTATGTTCCTACAGTGATCCTCCCTCCAGCAAGCCCCAGTAACTGCATTTAACAAGAGGAAAGCACATTCAGACAGTGAAACCATCCAAGCCAGAGGACCACTAGCAGCAGCCGCAGCAGCTGATCTCCATAGATGCTCATAAACACTGACCAGACTTGTCCCATGGAGCCACAACTGGTCTGAGACCAGCTTCCCAGGAGGGAGCAGGCAATGGGACAGTCTTCACCATCTGAATCCATCTCAACATCACTCCTTCCTGTGATGTGGCAGTGAAAAGGGAATATACATACCCCCTCAAAAGCCCTCTGAGCCGTTTTGCATATGCAGCCATTTTTCCACATCATCCCACCAGAAAAAAAAGTATGCATCAAGCCAAAATATTACTTCAAAGGGAAAAGAGAAAAGAAAAATTGAGAACACAAGACATCACTCAAATACCAATTTTAACCAAAATTAAAAATCATCTTAATTGATGCTTTGATAAAATGTGTTTTGTTTTGTTTTTTCCAGCCGTGTGCCATCCTGGTAAGCAGAAAAGCTGTACCTGCTTGTAGCTCTGCTGCTAGTTTGTAGATATGCCCAGGTCCTGGTTAAGTCAGTTGCTCCAGTCAGGCATTTGCTGTATTTGGAGTCATACAAGCTCTGTCTCTACTAAAGTGAGCAGGACGTGGCTGGAGCCTCATCCCACCACCAGCCACACCGTTAACCCATTCCTTGCCTCCAGGGAAACCCCTGGTTGCCGCCATCGGGCACTGCCCCAGACAGTGCCCAGGCACGAATGAGGGGGTAGCACAGCCAGGGAATAATGTCCACTGGGCTGTGGAGTAAAGCCGTCCTGGCTAGGAAGGGAAGAAAGGATAGATGCGGGTGTGGCCAAGAAGCACGAGGTGTCTCTAGGACAGAGAACTGTCCTCATCCCTCTTTTAATTGTGGTGTGGACAAAGCCACAGAGCGCAGCAGGGACAGCAGCGTGGCTCGGCATGAACGCGGGTAACGGGGGAGTCTCCTAGGGCAGAGGAGTTGCGCAGCGCAGAGCTCAGAGAGGGCTCAGGATGGGACGAGCGTGCATCAGGAACCAAATGAAGAGGGCAAGAATGGCTTTCCTTCTCCTTCTCCTTCTCCTTCTCCTT